CATGCTGCTGATCCTCGGCCTCCTGGTCTTGGTTCCCTGCCTGGCTCTCCTAACCTCCTTCCTCCTCTCCCCAGGAGGCAAAAGCGGTGGCAACAAGAAGAATGACGGCGTGAAGGTAAGCCCCCTCCCTGCTACCCTCTCCCGCCTGCCCCTCCGCTGCTGGGGCGGCGGTGGGGGTCTCCATGCCATGCTGGCAGTCCCCACTGCACCCTGCGCTTTAAAAAAGGGCAGCTGTTGGCCTGGCTGTCCCAGTGTGTCCCCATGCCACCAGCTCGGCTTCTGCCGGGACAGGCAGTGCAGAGGAGGCTTTGCAGCACAGCGAGTGAGGCGAGTGGGGCGGGTGCTGGAGGGGCGCCTGGGGGGAGTTCGATGCCGTTTCATTGCCTGCGAAATGCAGTCGCCCCTTGCTGCCCCCAGGGAGGGGGAGAGGCAGAGGTTGGACCAGGAGGGGGGACAGGGGGAGGTAGCTTTGCAGCCCAGAGCCACGGCTTCAGCCTGGCAGCAGCCGCCTGACGAGATGGGTGGCCGCATCTTCCACTTGCCCCAGCACACCCTGCTGTGGCTGATAGGGCTGGGCTTGTCCCCCAGTTCATGTCCCATCCCATCCCCAAGGGCTGGTGTGCTGCTGTGTGGCACATGGGTGCCTTTAACCCTCTCAGCGCCATTGCTGGCCCCTTGTGCCCAGTGCAGACAGAGCAAAAGAACTCGATGATGCTCGACAGAGTAAATATCTTGGTGGTGCTCTAAAAGCAAGCCAGTGCTTGGAGAACCTTGTTTCGTGGGCTGCAGAGCCCTCAGGTTCACCTGCCCCTCCAAGGTGGGACCACAGCTCTTCTCCAGGACAAGGTGGCTCCTGCAGGCAGCAAAATCCTGATGCTGAGCAGCTGCTTCTGATGATATGGAGATGGGGTGGTTAGCGGGCTCTGTCAAAGCCCTCCTGCAGGAAGGAATGGCCCATGTGAGGGTCTTTCTCTCCTCACCTGTTCTCTTCATGAATACAAGCGATCACTCATCAGGGGAGAGCTAGTGTGCTCCAATCCCCCATCGCAGGGCAAGGGGCAAGGTGTCAGGCAGAGCTTTGGGAGCCTGACTGCATCAGAGTTGCTCTTCTTCCTCTGGCCCTTTCATAAGGACCCAGCTGTTGGGCTGAGGGACACAGGGTTTTGGAAGAGCAGAGCCCTCAGCTGGCTTCTTCCTTCCTCACTCCAAGTGGTCAGTGGAGCCAGAGGTCTGGGGATGGCTTGTCTTTCTCCTGCTCCTCCCAGACCTAGTGGCTGGGACAGGCCAAGCCTGCAAGGTTTGAGACCATGCACAACCCTCGAAATCTGGGCTCAGCTCCACAAAAAGACCATTCTAGGCATGCAGCATTATTCTGCAACGTGAAGCTGATGTCCTGCTTTCTATAAGAGGACATTGCTTTGGGCTGTGGTGTCACGTGGCTATCGTGTGGCTTCCAGGACAGGATTGCTAGTTTTGGACACCAGTACTGGCACAGAGGGGACAGGTCCTACAGGAGTCACAGCAACCCATCTGCCAGCCAGTTGCTGGCCTGTCCTCTGCTGCTCTGAGGTCCCAGTGACTCCTGGGAGTCACCTGAGAAGTGACACCACAGGTAGAGCTGACTTGGTACGACTTGCTGGAGCACAGGTGAGAGCAGGCAGGAGACGCGTTTTTAAGCTGTAAAAGGAGAGACTGGAGGATGGAGAGGCTTCATCAGGCCCAGTCCTGAATCTAATTGTCCAGCAGAAAGAGGTGGCTTTGAATTTCATCTCTAGCATCTCAGGGATGGTGTGATGGTAGAAGACCATTTGGCAGCCTAACTTGGTAACAATGCTCCCTCTTGGTCTTCAAAGTAGCTTTGAGGGCAGACATTATCCTGGGAAGAGGGGCACTTGCTGTTGTAGCAAAATAGCTAGTTTGGGGAAACAGACTTCTAGCCCATCACTGGAACTCAGCAAGGAGAGTCTGGTTTCAAAGTGGGATCAGAGAGGCTGGTTTGTATCCCCAGTCCTCAGATCCATGGTGGGGAGTGGGGAGCAGCGGGTGAGGCTTCATCCTGAGTGCACTCTGCCACCCTCATCTCAAGAGGGTGTGCAAGCTCTGGAAAAGTGAGTTTGCTTTCCTGCCACCCCCTTTCCAACAAGAGCAGGTGAGACAGCCTGGCTAGATGGCCAGGAAGGTAGAGGAGGAGAAGACAAAGTAGAAGACTCATTCTCAACAGGTTGCTTGTGTTGGCCACCTTCAGCATTACCATTCCCACCCCTCGTTCCCCTGCTCAGCCTAGGGGCACTTGCAGCATAACCCCCTCATGGGAGCACAGGGAGGCTGGGTGCTCTGGGTGACGCTTTAATGGCCCACCACGGGCAGCTGGCAGATGTCAGGGCATTGCTGGGCGGTTCATTTCTTTCTATCTTGCTGGAAAAGCAAGGAAGGAACCTGGAAACCTGCCTTGGGTGGGTGGGAAGGTGGGAAGGTGAGAAGGGAATGGTCCTGCCTGCTCTGAGCAAGGCTTTAAGTCAGACCACATGGTGTGGTTCGTTGTTGGAAGACTTGGGTCCCCATTTGGAGAAACCTGCTGGACCAACCATCCCCATGAGAGCAGGCGAGTCCCAGGCAGCCACCCCTGCTGTTCCTGCCCAAAGCTGTGCAGGTTGGCAGCAGGTAGCTGGTGCTGCCCTTCGGCCTACCTGCACAGCCCTCCAGCACCGGGATGGTGCTAGCCCAGGCTCAGAGGGTCGAAACTCACGCTCCCGAGGAGGTTCCTCCCCTACTAAAAGCATTGACGGGACCAAAAATCCCCCTCGAGCCCTGCTCTGGGGTCTCTGGGAGGTCTTCTGGTCCCAGCAGCTACGATACCTTCACTGCCCTGTGTAGTGTTGCATCTCGTCACATTGTAAACTAATGAAATCACTGCCCCGTGTCGCATCCTGTCCCGTCCTAAATTAATGAGCTCACTGCCCCGTGTTGCATCCTGTTACTGTATGTCCAGACTCGACGCGGTCACTGCTTTGTGTTGCATTCTGTTGCGTCTGAAATTTCTGCAGTTTACTGCCCCGTCTCACGTCCTTGGGTAGCAGAAGCTGTCAGCCCTTCCTGCAGACAGCCCGACTCCAGCGGCTCCGTTTCCCATGAGATTCCTTCTCAAATACCGCAGCTTACTCTGCCCTTTAGGACATCTGTTGTCTCTGTGAAGGAGGGGCGAGGATTAACATAGGACCTAGCAAGGGCAGGGAGAGCTACACCGGGAGAGGGGGAAACTCAGAGATGGTGCTGGTGGGAGCCAGTTAGGATGTGAACGGAGCAATGAGGGGGAATGGATACCAGCAGTTTTTACACTGCAGCCCACCCGTGCACCCTAACGGGTCACTCTGTGGACTTTTCCAAGAGATTTGCATCGTGTGTGCTGCTTTTCCCTCTGCAGGGCAGGCAGACCCAGTGCCTCGAATGCTGGTAAAACACTTCATTATGTGGCACTGCAGCTTCTGATTCCTGCACACTGGTGTTCTCTGTTGCCTTCTGTGATTTCATCCCCCGGGAGTTGGAGGCAGAGAAAGCACATGAGGCCAGCATGCACGTCCCCCTGTCTCCTGGCTAGATTAAAGATGGAGACAGGGAGCAGAGCACAGCAAGTAAGGAAAGTCCAGAAGTAGTCTGGGATTGCAAGCAGAAACTTGGCTATGGGATCATCCAAACCAAAAGCCTTAAAGCCTAGTGGTAGTGGTCAAAGATGGAGATAAATAAGTGCACACATGAGGCCTTCTCTTTGGAGACTTGTCCTGGTTTAAAGCACTGGAGCTGCACTCCGGACAGCTTCCCACACGGTGTGTGTGCCTTGCAGGGTCGAGTAGCAATAGCCATGCTGGCTTTAAACCAGCCAGCTTAGTACTGGTCTAGGTCCAAAGCTAACTGAGCATCTCCACACTAGTCAGCAGCATGGGCAGATGCACCCAAGAACAGCTCCAGAGACTGTAAATGTCAGTACGACATTCACACCGGGCAAAGGGCTGCACAGATGGTGGAGCTGCCTTAGCTTTTCAGCGTCCCACTCATGTTCCTAGGAGCTTGCTGGCCTGGTCACAATGCCAACAGAGTGGTCATTGACTCCTAGAGGACTCCCTTTTGGACTAGCGAGGTCCTTGGTCCAGAGATTGTGGCAGGTCAGGAGAGAAAGGTGCCATCAGGAAGGCGGGGAGGGAGCTGGCATGGCACCACCAGCACTGCAGCCAGCGGCATGTCCCCACAGGAGCACCAGGCTGCCCCCCCACGCCTTTCGTTTGCCCCTCCACGAGGACCACAAAGGGTGGCTCAGGAGCTGCTGCCTCTCACGTGCCGCTCTCTGCCTTTCTCACTCTGTGTCTCTTCCTGTTCCATCTCTTCTCCTTGTTTTTCCAGAAAAGAAAGTCCAGTTCCAGCGTTCAGTTAATGGTGAGTGTCCTTCGTCTTCCTCAATGCCGATATTGCTGGGCCTCTCCTCATGTTCCAGCTTCCCCCGTTTTTGGAAGTTACCTCGGGGTAGGGAAGAAGGGACACCGGGGTTGGAGGGAACATTCTCAAAGCCGTATCACCCACAAACCCCATTAACAGGGTTGGTGCAGGCACTTGCTGGCCACCAGCTGGTGGGAAGCCAGCCCTGGTTCTTGCTGATGGGTTCTCATGCCGTTTCTCCCAGTTCTCCTGACTCAGGTCTGCAGGCTGCATCGGTCCAAGGAGCCTTGGAGAAACACCTTCCATGCCTCTGCGGGGACTGTATGGTCATGGGACACCTTGCCAACCTACATCGGGGTATTATGGGTAATACATAAGCAAGGCTCTGCTGGGAAGAGCTAGCAGAGCCATTGCTCTAGCTCCGCTAGCAGAGTCGTCTTGATGGGGCTCCTGCAGAGAGATGGGGGGGTCAGTACCCCCCTCCCCCCCAAATCTGTGTAGTGCTCAGCTGTTTCTTGAAAGAGCTGTGTCTCAGCCTTCGGTGGTCCATGTGGGTCTTGGAAGCACTCTGTTTTATTGTACATTTCTCTCCCTACTCTGCGGTCAGTGTGGTCTCTCTCACTCCTGCACAGTCCCCTCTTTCTCATCCCAGCTCCTCCTCGCTGTTTAATTTGTACATCTCTCTCTTTATCGTACAGTCAACATGGTGTCTTCCACCCCTGCACAGCCCCTCTCCCTGCCCCTCTGGCAACGCTCCTAGGAACCCACCAAACCCCCCCCGGACCTGCCCCCATCTCTGTCCCCACAGGTGTCGGTAGGAAAGGCAGCGCCGTTCCTACGAGACCCTCCACAGTCCAGCTCTTGTGCCCTTGGCTACAAGGAGTGGAGGTCAGGGAGGGCTCTGCCAGCGCTGCCCTAGAGCTGTGGTTGAGGACGGGTTGGACCTGCTGGCGTTTCCTTGGTTTCCGTCCGTTGGCACAGTCGAGCGCTGTAGGGTCGGACTCGGGGGGCTGACGAACACACGAGCTCTGTCTGGCGCAGGGTGAAGACCCCTCTCACCGTCCAGTCTCTCCTTTCTGTTCTTTGCTCAGGAATCGTCAGAGAGCACCAACACCACCATCGAGGACGAAGACACCAAAGGTACCAGCAGGGGCACCTGGGGAGGCGGGCAAGCTGTTTCAGAGGGGTCCTGCCCTGGGGTCATTAGTCTGGCCACCCCTAATGAGATATTGGCTACAGGGAAACCCACCACCACTGAGCTGCCTCAGGGCCCTTCAGAAGTGGCTTTAACTCCTTAGGTGGTTTCACTGCTGGGGCACTGCTGGTAAGGAGGGGTCTCCCAAAACCAGGGATGTTCCCTGAAAGCAAGCGTGGAAACGGCAGGAATCTACTGGGATAGCAGCCCAGCTGCCCGCTCCTCCAAAATAAATGGCCCTTTGGGAAAAGCCTCCAGGGGAAATCCCTGCCTCCCTCCTGCCCGCCTGCCAGAGCCAGCTTTCTAAGAATAACCCAGGGAATAATTTATCGGTGCTAATTTGTAAAGTCTCAGCACAAAGCAAGATGGACTTTGGCCTGATGTGAGAGTTAATGGGACACTTCTGCTGGGGAAGGGCTCCCTGAGAGTGGACACGGGAGCAGGCGGCGCTCGGGGTCCCTCTCCTTTCTGATCAACTCTCAGGAACGTGCTGCATCTCCTTTCATTAGCCAGAACACAACAAAAATTAAGTCAAGCATGGCGCCGACTTGCATTTGAAGCAGAGCCTCATTAATAAGCCCAGGGTTACCTCTGATAGCTCCTCCTGCATCCCAGGGATCTAAACCTACTCTCACAGCCCATTCCCTTCCCAGATGAACCGTCAGCACCTGGTGTCCCTCACAGCAGCTGCGTGGTGCTGTGCCCTTTGTGGGGTCCCTCCTCGTGTCTCCAGGGGTGGCTGCCCATGTCACCCATCTGTCCTTCTCCTAGCTGAGGCCCTCTCCTTCCATCTTAGAGGGAGGTGAGAGCATCCTTGGTCCAGCTTGCCCTGGCTGGCCACTGCTGTGAGTTGACAGGATGGAAGGCACCAGCTTGGCAAGGCTTTGCAGCCAAGACCAGCCTGTGCCAACTTTTGGGCCGAGGCCAGCTTGCCGCTCGGTGATTAACCCTTTTGCTCTTTAGGAAAATACAGAGTTTTTCAGTTTTGCCCTGACTTTGGAGGTCTTTCCTCTCTGGGGATGAAGAGCCCCTCCCTACATCTCTCTCCCAAGTCACTCCCCTGCTTTTTCCCTGGGCAATTTCCAGTGTCCCCCAACGCCCTGCGGTCTGTTTCTAATGAGAAAAAGATATCTTGTCGATATTGCAACATCAGCACTTCTGGTTTGTTTTCTCCTTTTATTTTCTTTTTCTCTTTAAACCGACAGTACGGAAGCAAGAAATCATTAAAGTCACAGAGCAGCTGATTGAAGCAATAAGCAATGGCGACTTTGAGTCCTACACGTGAGTGTGCCCAGCGTGGGTTTGGGCCAGGGTGGGGGCTCAGCCTTACAGAGCGGGTGCTCTCACGGTGACAATGCAGCCCGGGAGGTTTTACTGCTGCCCAGGGCAGGATGACCAGGTTGACATGGTGGGGGGTCATGGAGACCATTATAGAGAAGCAGGGGATATCAGTTTCCAAACCTGATGTTTCTCTCACACTAAGCTGACCACATCTCTCTGGTCTCATTATCATGGATGAGCCGAATTTCTGGTGTGCAGAAAGATGAATAACTGTAAACGTGATTTATGGTGGAAGAAGGAACATTGCATCCATGGTATCAGCTATATCCAGATTGCCACAGGCTGCTTGGAAGCGTAACTGCTTTCTACTCGCTGAGCTGATGCTCTTCAGAGTACACTTCTTCTGTGTCCAAGGTCTGTCTATTTAATTAGCAATGCCTGAGCGAGTGCAGGTCTTCATCCCTGCCTCAGAGAGTTGCAGCAGGGATATTTTGATACAGAGCAGAGAATATGAGTTTTTTTCCTGCTGTTTTTCTTTCTTACGAAGAAGACAGCAGTGCTTTGGGAGGTTTAATTGAAGATAGTGACGAGAATTCACCCTGCCTCACTGGGGCCTCGGCTGCAGTCAGTGGGCTGGAGGCAAGGTGAGGTGGGCTTCATACAGAGTGCAGGGATGAGGTCAGATTTCTGCTTGAATTACTTGCTGACACAGAGGCTCCTCAGTCTCAGGCTGGGGAAGTCATCCCGAGCATGAGCTGTTCGGGTTTTGCAGGTTCTCACACCAGAAGCAGTGAAATAACCTCCCTTTTCTCTGCCCTTCCTGCCTCCCCAGGAAGATGTGCGACCCTGGGATGACTGCCTTTGAGCCCGAGGCTCTGGGCAACCTCGTGGAAGGCCTGGATTTCCACCGATTCTACTTCGAAAACCGTAAGCAGCCCCCTTGCCTCCCGAGGGACCCTTCCCACCTCCCATGGGCCCGGCTGTGTCTTGACCTCCATCAGCTTGCTGGAGAGAGGAGGGTAAGGGTGGCTTTGAGAGCATCTCTGGCTGATCTGGAAGATCCCAGAAGGAAGTGAATCAAGCCTGTTAGGTCAGCTGGGGCTGGGCTGTATGCAGAGGAGTTGTTTGGTTAGCTGCTTTCTAGGTGGTCCCGTCCTGAACTCACCCGTGCAGCATTTACTCAGCCCCTCCAAGCAGAGAGCCTAACCCAAGCATCTCCTCTTCCCACATTGCTGCTGCCCTGAGCAAGAGCCACCCAAACTACTTCCCCTGCCTGAAGCCACTTGTACTTGTCCCCTCTCCAGTGTGGTCCCGGAACAGCAAGCCTGTGCATACAACAATCCTGAACCCCCACATCCACCTGATGGGAGACGAGTCCGCCTGTATCGCCTACATCCGCATCACGCAGTACGTGGACGCGGGAGGGATCCCCCGCACCGCCCAGTCCGAGGAGACCCGCATCTGGCACCGCCGGGATGGCAAATGGCAGATCGTCCACTTCCACAGATCTGGCGCGCCCTCTGTCCTACCGCAGTAAGCCCTGTGAGCCTCCGGGGATGGGGCACGGGGGGCCAGGGAGGGCACAGGGCGGGCTCCTTGCAGCGTTGAGGCCGCGAAGCGGGCGGGATCCTGCCCCAAGGATCCACAGTGGGGAGGAGACGACTGATGGCTATGAGATGGGGATGGGGAGAGGGATGCTCTACCAAAGGGGTGGTCAGAGCAAACTCCTTCTCTTCCCGGTTTGTGTGTTGCAGCTGAAGCGCAGTCTTGCCCGTGTTGGGTTTGTCACTGACTGACTACCAAGGGGAGACCCCCCTCCGACATCTTCACCTACGGGACTTTGGCTGTTGGCTCTGCTGCTTGGTTCCCGCTGGAATAACCCCTCGCTTCTCACCGCACACATGCAACAGCCCCGCTGGCGCCCCGCAAGCATCCCATCAACCCCCACCCCCACCGTGCCGGGGCCATGGCACTGGGCCCCCTTCCTCTGCATGAACCAAGAAAAGAGAAACCATGAACCTAAACCCGAGCATCTGGACGGTGAGATAATACGTGCCAGGGCAAAGGCCTCCCTCCTCAGCTGCATGGCATTGGTAGGACCCCCCCACTACCTGGCACGTCTCCTGAATCGGGCTCGGACTCGTCATCTGCCTCCATCCCCACCTCTGCTGGGAGCCCCCCCGAGGAAGAGGAGGGCAGGGGGGCAGTTTTGAGCCACTCTGTGCTGCACCCTCTCTGCGTGCCAGTGGATTTTGCTTTGCTGCTATCGAGGTCCCCATCTGCCACCGTGGCTCCCGCCTGCTCCCGACCTGAGCTCCCGCTTCCTGGCAGCCTCAACCAGGGAACTGTGATTTAAACCGTTTGCAAAGTCCGTATTCCACACACCCCTGGGTGAGGATGGCAGTGTTCGGATGGGTGAGTAAAGGCTATCTATTTTCCCTTCCCAGGAGCATAGGTTGGCTCCTACCCAGGAGAGACAGTAGGTTTGTGCCCTGGCTCGGGGCAGCTGCCGTGCCGAGAGGGATGCTCTCCCTCCTTTCTCCCATCAGAGCAGGGACCAGCAAAGCTGGGAGAAGAGAGGAAGAGAGAGGCGACTGCTTCCCGGCACTGCGTCGGCACAGCCGGGAGCCAGCGTTCTCCCAGTTGTGCCACGGCGGTAGCATCGGTCCCGTGCCCTCCTCCCCACCCACCACCACCCAGCCTGGATCCTTCACCCCAGCACCCACCCCTGCTGCTCGCCTGCAGCACCTGTGCCCAGCTCCCAGGCTGGGACGGGGGCAGCCATGCTGGTCACCGATTTGGGGTGCAAACCTCCATCACCCACACGACTCCTTCCAGCGATGACGAGGAATGCAAGCTTTAGTAACCAAACTCTGCAGAATCTGATCGTGCTTCGAAGAAAACAAACAAGCCTTTAGCTGTCTTCTACTTTGAGCGCATGCCTTTTTATAGGGACAAGAAAACAACCTACCGTGTATTTCGTAACTTGATTTTGAGTATTTGCTGAAATGGATCTTTATGTAATAACTAGAAACATTCAACTGTTTAGGGCGGGGAGGGTTGGGGGGATTTTCAGGGGTTGCTGTTTTTCGTCGCGTTTACATTTGGAGAGGGGTTTGCACCGCCACGATGCTCCTACCAGGGGTCCTGCGGCTGCCAGCCCCCACCCCACGCCATGGCGGCTTTTCCCCTCCCATCCCACAGCACTGGGTGGGCGAAGGCACCCGCGTCCCCGGGGCACCCACCTCCAGGGGCACCCACCTCCCCGGGGCGCCTTCCCGCACCCCACGGGTCTTCCTGCAGGACAATCCCAGGTGGTGGCTCTTGGGGAGCCACCGGGTTGTGGTATTCAGGACAGAAGACAGGGCCGGGAAGGTGAATTTTGGTCTCACCTCTTTGCCGTCAGGTAGAGGTCTGAGGGTGGGTACTTCTCCGGCAATTCTTCCATTTCTTGTTCTCTTTTTTCTGGCTGGAACCTCTTTGCTCGTTGACGTGAGACTCCTGCAGCGCTGCTGCCCTGGGGGACTTTCTAGCTGCACTCTCTTCATCTGCATGGCGTTTAACTTTCTAGACGGTGCGTGTGTTGAAAAACAAAGAAACGAACAAAAAACTGCTTGTTTTGGACATTAAAAAAAAAAAGGGAAAAAAGAAAAAAAAAAGGAAATGTTTTCTCCATGTAAATTCTGAGTGTGTATTTTGCCTTTTCTGTAGTTTTGAACGCTTTGCTCTCTGTTGAGGCAGGGACGGCTGCCAGCGAAACACAGCCACATCCTTGCAGACTGCAAAAATATTTTCCCACTGGATGGAGGGGAAGAAATCCAAACTGCTGGGGCATGAACAGGCCCTGAGAGGTGTTTTGGTGTGTCCCGCTGTGCCAGCGGCGCGATGGTTGTTGACGATGTGTGTCGGAGATGCCGTTTTGGGGGCAAATCACACAGGTGCTCCACGGGTGCAAATGTGCATCCCCATGCCCTCGGTGGACCTGTGCTCTTTGACCGTGGAGCTGTGTTGGCTTGCAAGAGATGGTCCCAAAGAAGGGAAATCCATGCAGGGAGAGGATTAGCTTTTATGGTAGAGTTTGGGTGTTTTTACAGATCTGTTTTTCTTCCTGTAGTCACGTAGTGCTGAAGTTTTTTTTTTTCATTTTTAAAGGAAGGATTCAGCTCTTTCACAGCTCTCTCTCTCCCTCTCCAGAGCTGGCTGTGAAGCCAGCCATGGTGAGTGTCTCATCCACCTCCTGATGTCCAGGCTCTTTGGGTGTCAGGAGTATTTTTGGGGATTGGTATGTGATGAATGAGGAAGGAGGAGGTCACGGCAGGGCTCTGCATGAGGGCTGTAGGGCAGACACCATTTCAGCCTGGTTTTGGAGCTGGTGACAGCTGTGGACCTCAGGTGGCTGTGAGGGTGAAGCTGCTCCAGCAGCTGCTACTGCAGAAAGGACTGGGACAGGGGGTGCAGTGGGGTTTACTGAGGATGACAGATGAGATGCTGGGGTAGATACAATCTCCTTTCACTGAGAGCCCACTTTGGGCAGTCTCTGCTAGGGAGGAACATCTTGGTTTCCAGGAAGGCTTTGAGGTGTTGTCTTGGAGGTTCTTTCCCCTCCTCGAGGTTTCTCTGTGGTCATTTCTCCAGGGACAGGTTCCTCTGGAGGCAGATGGATATCCTTGCAACACCTAAGATGCTCCTGATCCTTTCCAAGGGAAGCAGAGACTGGGGTTTCAACTCCTTCTAGTCTTCCAGTCAAGCTGAAGCCTGACCAAGGAAGACCGAACTTCCCAACCTGCCCACGATGGCAGCATTAAGCACCTGCACTTTAGGGATCTGTTCTGCCTGGTCTCTCTTCCCCACCTCACCCTGTTTCTCCAGAGTAGGTTCCCATACCCCCAGAGCATCTCTGAGCAAGCACTGATATACCACCACCCACAACAGCTTCTGTCTCTGTCTTCCTTCACATTTCCTGATTTCTCCTAAACTTGCAGGAAAACTAACAAATTAATCATCAACTGTCACCATCCTTCTTTGGCTTGCAGAGCCAGGGATGCTGCCGTTACATCTGTACTTTTAAGCTGTTGTCACCGTCCCTGGCACATGCTAACTGGTATCGTGCCCACAATCTCACCATGGTTTTGGGGATGACAAGGTCCAGGGTATGTTCCCAACAAGCAGTATGGACAAGGCCACCTTGTTGGGATGAGGTTTACCACTACGGACCTCCTGTTCCCATTAACCTCAATGATGGAGATCAGGCTGCAGCACATTTCCTTTCCTAGTACAGACAGAGGCCGACTCAGCTGCTCGCCTGGTCATCTGAGTCAAACCAAACTCAGAAGTCCTCCAAACTGATCATCTCTTCCACCTCTCACAGACCACGGGATATTTGAGCGGGAGCAGTTGCTGTGGTGGTCTCAGGCTCCCAGCTCCACAGGTGGGCTTGAGAGTCTCCTGTTTTCCCTTCCTGCCTGCCAAATCGTCATTTCTCAGGTCTTGCTGGTGCATCTACTCTGGAAGAAGACGAGGCCACTCCTGGGCCTCTGCTCTTTGCTGGAGGAGCAGGCGCTCTGCTTCTTACCCCAGCCAAGCATAGCCAGGAGAGCCATCTTCCCCCCTTACCCCAAGTAAACTCCCCCACTGCCAGGCTCCCCTCCCTTTGCCCTCCACGAATTGATGCCCCCGTGGAGCCCCAGAGGTTGGAGCAGGCAGCAGCAGCCATCTGCTCCCGCTTTGAGCTTGTGATCTTCTCTGCAGCCCATGGCAGGATCTCTGGGGAGGACCAGCAAACAGGAGTGCCATGTTTGAGAGGGCAGCCACATAGCCCCATGGACCAAGAGGTGTCTGTCAGCAGAAGATCCCATAACCACCTCCTCTGATCATCCCAGGAGCCAGGCTAACCTTTCTTCCCCGCCACAGGACACATCTCATGGTGTACACCGCTCGATGCAACAACCATCCTCCTGCTAGCAGGGTAAAGACCTCGCCATTACCCATTTCCAAAGGTGCAGGTCCCAGCCCATCTGTACCAGGGAGGGAAACCCAGATGTGAAGAGGCTATGGGAACATCAGAGGAAGGGCTGGTGGCCCCTCTGCCATCTGTCCCCCAAAGGCCACCCACCAGCTCCCTGCCCCTCGGCTGAATGTCCTTCCCACCTGCAGGTTGACAGGGAGTGGGAGAGGGGGCTGTATTGAGCAGCTCCTTCCTTCTTTGGGTTGTTGTCTCTTTTTTCTAACTGTTGCACAATTTTAGGGCTTTTGTAACATTTTTTGGACAAGCAGGGAAAATATGTTAACAGTGGTTTAAGAAAAAAATGAGATCTCTCTCTCTTATATATTATATATATATCAAAATATATATATACTTACAGGAAATCTCTATGGAAATATTTATTTAAGATGATTGCAAAAAATATATTATAATTAAGAGTATACAAAGCTTTGTCACGTAACAAAAATCAGGCCCCGGGGAGGGGTAGCTGCCTGTCCCCTCGTGTCTGTCAGTCCGTACGGTTGCAGCTGAAGCCTTTCTCTTATCTTTTTTGTAAGTGCACTCAAATTGTTGAGCAGTGTGACCGTGTTGGATTCAGCGGGAGCTTGATGCGGGGAGGGGGGAGGGATTGATTTTGTTTCCTTTTCCTTTGTTTTTTTTTTGAACCTGTGGCTGTGAACAGAATGATCACTGCTCAAATCGGATGCTCTATTTGGGGAGGGTGGCGGGGGGACCGGGCGCGGGGTGGGTGCGGGAGGGAGGGCGAGTGTCAGTTTTATTCTTGGTGTTCAAGTGCAATAAATAGCTACCAACTTCTGAGCATGGAAAAGGATGATTCTCCGTCACTGCAGTGACTCAGACCGTCTGCCACCGCCTTGTCCCTCCCTCACCGCCCTCCTGTCCTCGAAAGCATCAAGGCTGGGATCAAGCTGCGGGCAGCGGGCGCTTTCCTCCTGCCTGCAGGATGCTGGTACCCTGGGCGCTGCCTGCCCCTGCCCACCAGCATCCCTGGGGCTTGATGTCGCCCCCAGACGCAGCTCACCCCAACCAGGCCCTTTCCCCAGGGAGTGGGATCTGGGTGCTGCAGGTGTCTGGGAGACCCCATGAGCTGC